CCCATGTCCTGCTGGGGTGAAGCTGCTGCTCATCCATGAGGTGTGGAGAGGCCAGGCTGGCTCCTGCCACTGCACGCCACTGGTCCGGAGGCAGCACAGGGGCTCAGTCTTTCACCGGCTGGGTGAATGGCAGGGGGACATAGCCCCTGCTCCCAGCACCTTCCACCTTTCGCCTGGCACAGCCCCAGCCCTGCCTGCTCCATGCAGATCCTGGGGCACATTCCTCTGCCCCATGCCCTCCTGGACCGGTGGTGGAAGCACCGGTGAGATATGCTGGCCAAGTTGCTACACAAGCAGCTCCCAGATCGGCGGTGCGCAGCAGTGTGAGCCTCCTCAACCCCTCCCTGGGCAGCGCTTGCCCCAGCCCCAATCCCTCCCTTGTTGTAGGGGCATTGATCTGCACCCCCCCAACACCTCTTCCCTTCCCCTTCCGCCCACCACATCAGACTTACCAGCTTGAGGCTGCTGTGTTCAGCGTCAGACTGCTGCCTGTTTAGTCTATGGCTGAATTTCCGATGTGGTGCCGAATCTTCGGATCTGATTTCGGCTGAATGGAATCGGGACAGTGATTCGAATCCGAATAGAATACTTGCCGCTTTGCATGGACCTATTGTCTATCTCCTCTTCCTCTTCCCTTTCCTCCTCTTGCTCCCAGTGAACTGCTTGCAAACTGCTGTTTGCTGTCCCTGTTTGTAGTCTCCTTTTATACTCTGCTGGGCCTAAATTCTGCAGTTGCTGGGAGTGCTTGCTAGAAAAGTATTCATCCCAAGCAAGTGGAGGTGTCAAACTCTGATCAACTGAAGATGGGCATGATGAAGAAAATTTTCTCAAAAAACATTGATATCCCAAAATAAACAGGGTCTAAAAGCATACCTAAGGAAAAAAAAAACTAGGACAAGAAATAGCTACACAAAAGATTACTGTTGTAAAAGTTAATGACTGCTGTCCCTAAGATGTCTCATACACTTGATTTTATATTATCTAAAAAAGGAGAAAGCTAGACTAACAGTTAACAGCCTTTTCAAAATGTTTGGCAGAACAAATTCTGCAAAAAAATAAAAGGCAAAATTTGAAAGGTTTAAGGGAACTGTACAATACCAGTCTGCTTTGTGGTGTTGAAAGCTTTTTTTTCTTCTATTCGATTTTTTTTGTACTGGCACAGAGCAAGACCTATTGCTGTGATAATCTCTTTACTCTGATTCTTGGTAGCAGGCCACAAAGGTACAGGTTGTGTTATAGTAATGGAATAAGTTTCCCACATACAGTGAAACATCATTAGTTGAAAGTGTAAAGCTCTTTCACTGCTGACCCAGAGCAAAAAGGCTATTTAAACTGCTACAGTAAACAGCCAAGTAGTACCATATAAAAATAATTCGGGGCAAAATTCTTAATTAAATAATGCAGTACAGTCAGTATCTGTCAGAATGGCATTGATTAAATATGTCCTTGGTATAAGACAAAAATGTACTGTATTATCTTTTTTTGTTGAAGCGTTATTATACAGAGAGAACAGATACATGAATATAGTATAATTTTAGGTCCTGATACATTAGAGAAGGTTTACTGGAAGTCCTGTTGATCTAAAGAGTTTGACTCTTTATGATCGGTATGCATTATATCAGTGGGGGAAGTGGGGTCCTTCCAGGGGAGTGGGGAGCTGCGTGGCTGGGCCTGTGGCACCAGGGCTGGTGCCACTACTACTTGCAGGGGCGGGGCAGCTGGAAGATGCTGCTCAGGGGGCAGGAGGGACCGTGACCAGGCTCTGTCTGGTGTGGTGCAGGAGCCCCAGCCCAGGGCAGGGTGGGTGCCACAGGCCTCTTCTCCTCTTTCCAGCCTGTGCTGGGGCTCGACTCGCTCTGCTGCTGCTGGAGCCATTGCATTCTGGCCTAAACAGGATGGGAGCAGCTGGGTGCCTCCACTAGCAGGGCTGAGGGGGCAGGGGGCTGTGGGTTGGCAGTGAGGGTCACCAGCATGGCTGGGGGAGTGGGGGGCAGGATACTGTCCCTTGGGAGTAAGGGACACCAGCTGTGGACTGGGGCAGGGGGGCTCTTCCCAGTGAGGGGCTGGACTGGGCTGCGCTCAGGTCAGGTGGTGGTAGCACTGAATGGGGGCTATGCTTGTTTGCATGTTCTTAGTTCCATCTGCTTAATGATATGAAAACACAGAGTAATTCTTTAATTTTTGATCTTATTAATTTTTCTCTTTAAGCTGCTATTATTCAAGTTTCCGGAGCCTTGTGCTTGGAAATATAAGTGAGAATGTGTTTTGAAAATGTGGTACATGAGAGAATCTTTTTCTTAATGTGAACTGCATTATAAAAGATTTAGAATTCATAGCTTACACATTAGGAAGACATTGCAAGTCTAGAAAGCAGTTCAGTAATTGGCCATGGGATGTTATTAAGTCTTTGAAGTTAGAGATTTCTAAGTAGCTTGGTTTATACCTGCTGATAGTTTAGATAGTTAACTATTCTCTTGGTTCAAAGAGAGTGAAAAAATGAAACAATCTTAAATCATCATCCAAAACTTGGATTAAGAAGCTGTAGTCTTAATGGGGAAAAAAACAGTTGAGATAGCAAAATAGTTGTGTTTAAACTTATATGCAGATTTTTTTACTATTATTTCATAGGTGCTCATTGAATGGGACTTCACAAACTGCTTGACAACATACAAACAAAAGTAAGTGTGACAGTTTTTGTGTTTTTACTTTTTTACAAAACATCTGTAAAAATTATATATCTATTTAAGTATCTATATATAGATACATATAGCTATACTAAGGCTACTTTTGGTAGTCAGTTACTAAACTTATATTTTATGATAGTGTGGAGAGGATTGTAGGTTTTTAAATCTATGTGTAAATAAAAAAAATATCAGGAATATAACTGTTGTGGGTATTTTTCTGGTATGAGATTAGGCCAATAGTTCGTCTCCTTCCAGATCTTGATGAGCTCACTTTCTTGGCATGTTTTGTTTCTTCCTGTTTTTGACATGTAGAGTACATGCACTAGAAGACAGGAAAGATTTGTGTCCCTAGCCATTTTTTCCCCATTTGATTTTAATTATTCAAACTACCAATTATTTAATTTATTTAAATCTCATTTAATTTAATCTTGTATATTGGCTGGTATCCATATTAAAATACATTTGAAACTGTCATTGTTCTCATCTCTTTCCTTTATAACTGTCAGCACCTTGTGGGTTTGCTTCTTTGTAATACTGGGCTATGACATACCCTCATGATAATTGTTAGATTTCTTTTTAGATGTTATTTATAAAAGTCTAAGGATAGACATTCCTGGTAACTCCTTTCCAAGAGGAGGAGCTTTTGCCTCCTGTCATACTGTATTTGAAAAACAAAACAAAATACCCATAATGTCCATTTTTCTTATGATCTTAAAACATTAAAAACACTCAAGCTTCATAGCATCCTTCTATGGGATGTATCATTTTTTAACTGTTTTATAGATGACTAGCTTGATCTAGAGCAGGGGAGGGCAATTATTTTGGGCAGAGGGCCGCTTACTGAGTTTCGGCAAGCCCCCAGTGCAGATTAATATTAATTTTCTAAATTTTTTAGGGGCCCCACGGGCTGGATAGAATGGCCTGGCAGGCTGCATCCAGCCCTCAGGCTGCATTTTGCCCACCCCTAATATAGAGTGCTGTTACGTAAAAATTGACATGTAATATAGGAATTATTCAACATCACTACAGCAAAGAATGAATTTCACCTTTTCCCCATTTCCTGTTATTTTAAGTATGTAATCTTAATGTTGCGGTGTCTATTGTGTGCCTGTATTCCTTTTGTACAAGTGGTGATTGTAAGTTGCATGTGCTGGATGGGGCAGTTATAATGGGCATCAAATGAGTACACCTGTGATTTAATTGAACCAACTACTGAGTTGTTTTGACATGCGTAATTAATTTTTTTGTGAACTATTCTCTGCATGACTTTAGAACATTTTTTCTAATCTATTAAACTTCCAGTCTTGATAAAGAGTATTTGCATAGCATATTTTGACACTCATAGTTCAGGTGTGCTTGAATGATTTGGAGGGAGAAAATAAGTTGAGAGAATAGCAGGTTTTTAGCAATATAGCAAATTTGGTAGGTCCATAATTATATTATCTCAGGACAAGTAAGAGACTTTTTAGTTTATTATATTTTGATTCTCACTCATAGATAATAAGTATGTATTTGGCTAATTGACTTTTTAGTGGCATATAGGAGAGATGAAATGTGGTCTGAAGGACGGTATGAATATGAAAGACTTCCAAGAGAACGACTTCCACCAAGGATTCATCCTGATGTAAGTATATGTAATCTGTGTTCAATACCAGGCTTATATTTTATTAGCAAATTGCCCATC